GCCACACACCACCCATTAGGCTACACACCACCCATTAAGCCACACACCACCCATTAGGCCACACACCACCCATTAGGCCACACACCACCCATTAGGCCACACACCACCCATTAAGCCACACACCACCTATTAGGCTACACACTACCCATTAAGCTACACACCACCATTAAGCCACACACCACCATTAAGCTACACACCACCATTAAGCTACACACCACCCATTAAACCACATCACCCATTAAGCTACACACCACCTATTAAGCTACCCACTAAGCTACACACCAAGCTACCCATCAAGCTACCCACCATCCATTAAGCTACACACCACCCATTAAACCCCACATTAAGCTACACTTCAAGCAACCCACTAAGCTACCCACTGTCACCTGCAGCTCGGGGCTGAGGTCCTCCTCGTCATAGTTGAGTGTCAGTGCCGGCAGGTTGAAGAGGTGTGCATAGCTTGTGTTTACCACCCAGGAGTTGTAGGGCAGCACAGGACTGGGCACGAAGTCTGTTACGCCGTGCACTCCAGCACCCGTCAGAGCCTGCATTACGCGTAATGTGTTCATTATGATGTTAAGTGCATAAATGATAGAAGATGTACCACTGTCAGAGTTAATGATATGCGTTCCTGAATGCATCTGCATCATGAATAAATGATCTAGATATCCCCGGCACCTGTCAGCATCTGCATCATGCATAATGTGTTCAACATAACATAACATAACATAACATAGTGATGTCGGCTCTGAAGTGTAGGCCTGATGTGGCCTGTCGCCGATTCTTTTCCATTTCGTGCCTTGTTCATAGATCTAAACCTGTCTCTTATACACATCTAGATGTGTATAAGAGACAGCACCATCTCACTCAAGGAGTTTACTACATCATTCAACAATTTCGACTCATTGCCGTGCTCTTCCACCAACTCCTCTCTTTTTCGAGCACCAAGAGTTGGTTTTTCGCAATCACGGCAAAACCAATGAAGCAATTTAGATTTCTGGAGAAATGAGTACTCCTTAGAGCTCAACTTTGAACAGCTGATACAAATGAGATCTTCACATCGTTCACAGGNCTGCAGCATGCTGGTGACCTGCTCATCATGTACCTGCAGCATGCTGGTGACCTGCTCATCATGTACCTGCAGCATGCTGGTGACCTGCTCATCATGTACCTGCAGCATGCTGGTGACCTGCTCATCATGTACCTGCAGCATGCTGGTGACCTGCTCATCATGTACCTGCAGCATGCTGGTGACCTGCTCATCATGTACCTGCAGCATGCTGGTGACCTGCTCATCATGTACCTGCAGCATGCTGGTGACCTGCTCATCATGTACCTGCAGCATGCTGGTGACCTGCTCATCATGTACCTGCAGCATGCTGGTGACCTGCTCATCATGTACCTGCAGCATGCTGGTGACCTGCTCATCATGTACCTGCAGCATGCTGGTGACCTGCTCATCATGTACCTGCAGCATGCTGGTGACCTGCTCATCATGTACCTGCAGCATGCTGGTGACCTGCTCATCATGTACCTGCAGCATGCTGGTGACCTGCTCATCATGTACCTGCAGCATGCTGGTGACCTGCTCATCATGTACCTGCAGCATGCTGGTGACCTGCTCATCATGTACCTGCAGCATGCTGGTGACCTGCTCATCATGTACCTGCAGCATGCTGGTGACCTGCTCATCATGTACCTGCAGCATGCTGGTGACCTGCTCATCATGTACCTGCAGCATGCTGGTGACCTGCTCATCATGTACCTGCAGCATGCTGGTGACCTGCTCATCATGTACCTGCAGCATGCTGGTGACCTGCTCATCATGTACCTGCAGCATGCTGGTGACCTGCTCATCATGTACCTGCAGCAGGCTGGTGACCTGCTCATCATGTACCTGCAGCAGGCTGGTGACCTGCTCCGCCACATACGCAGGGTTAAGCTTGTAGAAGTCGTGGCCGCTGATGAGGGCGGGGATGTAGAAGGACGACAAGCCCAGAGCCTTCACCAGGTTCACCGAGTCTGCAAAATAAGATATTATTAATATTATATAGGATGATGTTATTAATATTATATAGGAGGATATTATTAATATCATATAGGATGATATTATTAATATTATATAGGAGGATATTATTATTATCATTTCATGGTGAGGATGAGGTAAATTGATAAGGACGATTTAATCAGATCTGGGAGGTAGAATGATACCAGGACTAAAGCTTACACCAGGTTCACATGTCTGGTAGAACATGATATATTAGCATATGATGGATGATAGAGCTTAGAACATGATGATATTAGCCCATGATGGTGGATGATGAGGGGAATTGATACAAACAAATACGTCTTTATAGTAAAAAAATTCAGGTTTCATTATTGTTGAGTGGTGCAATGCAATACAGATAGAATTACTTGATCATCTGATAACATGATAAGGATAAGAGTAATTGACCAAGATAAACACAGGTTTATAGCATGTATATCAATGTTCACTAATATATATATAGGTATATATGGGATGCAATATAATGATTCATACCTTGAGGATCCATGGCACTTGGGTTGACCTCCACCATGGCACTCTCCTGCATCCAGGTGATGGTGGGTGGAGGCTCACAGGCGGGGGCTTTGACAATGATCCAGATAGCCAGCACCAACATAGCCACCCATGCTGCCCTGCAGTCAAAAAAGAAAACTCAGTACTCACTGCAGTGTGTGACAGAGTGCATTTTCACATTGACAAAAACTTGAGGTCATGGACGGACAGACGGATGGATGGACAGACATGGCAAGCACAATAGTGCATTTTTTCCATAAATGAGAAAATGCGCTAAAAATGGTCAATTCATCCAACATGTTCAATGCAACTGTTATCAAGTTCAATGTATCCAACATATTAATGATTCAATGCATGCACCGTGTTAACACTTTCAATGCACCTAGCATGTTCAAAACAACCAATGTTACCGGAGGTTGAATTAGGCTACTGTGTAGCCCAACCTTCATGTCTTTCTTTACTATTTATCATATTTCTTCAGTTCTCAATCCAACTCAATTTAAATTAAATTCAATATTTTTAGCTTTTTCAGTGTAGATGACCAAAGTATAATTTGCAAACTTGAATTATCACTCTTAGTATTTGGATTCCTACTCAGTATCTCAGCCTGGGCACTCAGTTGCATTGGTGAGTAACATAGAAATTTATTTCATTTACTCATTGATAAGTTAGGTTAAGTTTTGTCTTTGTTATTTTGCTAATTTCATTGATATTAACCTTTTGTGTTCCCTTGCATTTTACTTTGATTGTGTTCATCTCTGACTGATATGGTCTAGTTTGAGGAAGTTAATTTATTATATTGGATTATGGTTATAATTAATTTCAGCAAGTTATGTTCACAATTCATCTGGCAGTATTCCTTTATTTATCTGTCCACTTGTGATTCCTTTCAATTCAATCCTCATGCGAGTACTCATTAGTTTTAAAAATAAATTCACAATATGGAGATGAGCTTTTACTAGTTTTATGGAGTTTAATGGTTCTTGCTTTGTTTACATTCTACATCCCATCAGATTATCAGTCATTCATGATTTGCATTTTTATTCTGTTCTTTCTGTTTGCAGTTAAATCTACTCATCTCCACATGTCCATGCTCCTTACATCCAATTAACAAGCACATTTTCATTACACCTTTCAAATTAAAACAACCATTTCATTTGCAATTTTATTAAGTTGTGTGCTTATTTACTGTCCCATATTTTAATTCATTTTGCATTAGAACCAGTCTTTCATTTTCCTTCATTCAGAGTAGGGTTGTTGCCAGTTAGTTAAAAGCAGATAACAGGTTTATCTCACCTACGGCACGAGACATTTTAGACCCGGCAACACCAACATGTTCAAATATATGATAAAAAATTGGTAGAGTATATATAAATTGGCAGCTATTGCTTTTCAGGAAGTGCTCACAGAATTCTATCAATCCTAAATCTCCATTGAGTCAATATCAATACACAATAAACAAGATAATACACAATAAACAAGATTATTCATCTAGTTAAACAGACCAAAAGCTACATTCAGTGAATCAGATCAAGTTGATAAGAAAATGCTGCTATAGAGAGCAAAATCCCCATCTTCACTGTAGATAATCGACTAAAATTTCTTGCAGAAATTATTGATACCATATTAATGTACAGGATTGACCACAGTGGCCAGCATGCTAACCATTACTATCAGAATCAGAAGAAAAAGATAGTATTTATCAGATCAAAATGCTGAGAAAATTACACTTTGAAGCACATGCTAGAACTACAGGTTGAAAATATATCAATCAATATTCCACATTAGGTAAACTTTCCATTAAATATAATTGCTAATTGTTATACCGACCAAAATAGGAACATGAGGATAACAACATTCAATATTAGGTAAACTTTACATTAAATATAATTGGCTTTAATTGCTAATTGTTATACTGACCAAAATAGGAACACGAGGATAACAATATTCGACATTAGGTAAACTTTACATTAAATATAATTGCTAATTGTTATACTGACCAAAATAGGAACATGAGGATAATGCGGAGTCGAACCCAAAATGGATCCTTGGCGTACTTCATGAGCTCAGACTTGGTGAGTCCACGGAACTCATCCTCGGTTGCGATGTCGACTTTGATGTCAGCTGCCTGCACCTGGATAAAGAAAATTGCCCATTTTCAATGATTTTTGAAAATAATTCATAAAACAATATCAAAAAATTTCATAAATTATTACTTTCAAGCTGCAGGGTTTCCAAAATGGATAATTTGGACAAGCCTCCTGTGAATTGGACAAAATACCTGCTAATCTGGCCAATTTTACCCATTCCTGTGGCCTTTTTTAAATTTTTTAATTGAAAACTAAGAAAAACTGCCTATTTTCAATAATGATTTTTGAAAATCATTCATAAAACAATCTCATTTACTTGTTATTTTATGAAACTTCTGCTGGCTATTCAAAATAGGCAAAAATTCATTGATAACTTGGAAAATTCCAATGTTTTAAATCTGATACTTTGGAACATTTTTTGGCCCTAAAGGCAATTGCATTGACATGATGACATCACAGCATTTTCACAATCAATGCATATTTATACAGCATTTAACAACACAATCGTCAATGCAACTTTCAACTTTGCAAGAATGCTTTACAAGCAATTTCAGAAGCACAACTATCAAAACAATGTTTTCTATAACAGATATCTATGTAAATTAGTACCTTTGAGATGCAATTTCAATGCTTCAGATGAGATATATGTCAACATTTTTTTGTTAGATGCAGTAATTTCAAACTAAATTTTTGATATATTCAACATAATTATTTTCTAGGCCTTTAATAAAGAAGCAACCTGCAACATAGAACAATTAATAATAAAAATATAAAATTCGAAAATAATTTTCTAACAAGGGCATGATAAGCATTAAATTAAAGGGGTTAAGGTCTTAAGGATAATAATATATATAAGCCACAACTAGAGCTTTCCTGCCATAGTGCCATTTTCTGAGCCACAAGAAGTCAAGATTCCTGCTAGTGCTAGATAAATTCTCATCTGCAGCTAGAATTAGGTACTATATCATATCAAATTGTTTGCATAATTGCCTAATTGAGCCATAAGATTATCATTCCAGTGCTAAGTTGGGAAATTCTAATTCTAGTTATGCATAATCCATGAAATAATATTTGGTATTATTGCAGATTAACTACATCCAAAAAAAAGGGTGTTTTTTTTTTTAATTATATGTTTTTTGGGGTGTAGATTACGAATCTGAAATCCATTTTTGGCGGTCGGCATCGGAAAACCGATTTTTTTAAAAAACATATAATTAAAAAAAAACACCCTTTTTTTTGGATGTAGTTAATCTGCAATAATACCTAATATTTAAACTTAAAAAGTAATGAAATAGGTATTGTAATGAGCTACTGGAATGGACAAATTTTAGTCCACTTTCTGTCCCAACTATTCTACTACTACTACTAGTCAGTCTAGTCTACACTCTACAGTAGTTAGGTATAAAAAAAAGACTATTGATAATCATATGACTAAAAATTTTGATGTGTTTTGTCTTTAATAATAAAGTCAAAATAATGAAAGAAACCCATTCAACAAAGAAGCAAATTGTAGAACGCCACACCCTAGGTTCGCATTTCCTATAACCGGCCATGTGATGTCGACTCAATGGCGCCATACCTCAGCTTTCGCTCCATCTGCTCCTTCATTAAGCAAAACTTTTGACGACTCTTCTTGAGGTGCCATCTCGCCGTTGGGAACACCGTCCTTTTCCTCACCCATACTGGCAAAATTAATTTTTCGAAGTCACGAGCTTAATGCGAGGTTAAAAATATCGCAACAGCAGCACTACGTGCTTAGCCAACTCGTACGTCACTACGTTATGGCCGCGCTGGCTGCTTGCCAATTGAGTAGGGTACAGGGTTGCCAGATGGAGCCGAGTGAAAAAGGCCAATTTAGCTCACAAAAAAGGCCACAAAAGGCCTCATTTGAAATTAATAAGAAATTCTTAAATAAAACGGGAATTACACTTTTCATAAAAAAGGCCCAAAACGGATAAAAAGGCCAAATTATTTTTTGTCAGGCCAATGCCTTTAAAAAAGGCCACATCTGCGAAACTTGGCCTGAAAAAGGCCCATCTGGCAACACTGGTAGGGTAGGTTAACTAAACAGATGCTAGAGGTTGCAACAAATTTGAATCGTATCACTACAGAATTCATATGAAATATATTTTCGATTAACGAACTCACATAAATAAATAATGATTACATACACGAAGTTTTTTTTATCATAATCTAGCTTACAAAACTTATTCAAGGTGAGAAGTTCTTGGAATTGAATAATTTCTTAGAAACCTTCGTTGAGTAGGGCGTGCGGGCAATTATTATCATTATATTCCAAACCTCTTAAAGTTATCAGCAAAATTTTCCGGGTGCTTTTGCACTATTAGTTGATTTAGGAGCTGATATTTCGTTTGTTTTCGATGGCATTCTTTACATTGCTTGGTCCTGAAACTGCTAATGGATGATGCAACAATGAAACGGTTTACATAGATTCTTCTCATCGTTTATATATCAGTACTGATATATGGGAATGTAATTCAGATATTGAGTCAATGTAAAAATGTAGTCATTTTACACTAACGTGTTATTTTTGAACGCGTGTTCAGTCTATATTTGAATGATTCTCCGTAATCCCACTTAAAATAGTTTGTATTAAAATATTACTTTTAAAATTATCCGACTCAGGGGAACTCATTTCCATGGGGAACCGTATAATTAGTTGCTAGAAAATAGGCTCCTAGTAGAAATACGTGCAATAAAATAGGTTCGCCTAGGTTCCCGTATAAACAATTGCTAGAAAATTAACAACTACCTATTTCGTTACTATTGCGATTTTGCTCTAATGGTTCGTTTAACAATCGAAGCCAAAAGTTCTAAATTTACCATAGTCAACAGTGTGAGTAATTCTACGCCGATCATCAGCACAGGCATCAGTAATTGTGGTATCAGTTACACAGGTATCGGCAACACTGATGTTTTAGCATTAGTTGTATTATAAATACCGGCTTTAATTCGGGGCCCTATATATATAGGGGGATTTATAATTTGAAACTGGCATGGTTTATTCCGTTATCATACGTTAAGTCTTACCATGTCTCACTAGGAAATATTTAAATTCGAGATCACGTTCGAGCTGTCGCAGATTTCGCATCGCTAAATTTTCGCAGCGAGCTCGATTTTACACCCACAACTCTCTGCTTAAAATATATTTCTTATTAAATACCGGCCTGCTTCGTAGCAGGCTAGCACGTTCAACGTGGCATAGTCGCAGGCTGGGAATTTAAAGTCAGTTCGTGAACGGTTTGAGTAAGCAGCTCGATTACTCAACTGATTTATTTATACACTCAGAGAAATTTCAATTCAATGAGGATTTTCAGGCTCTCTTGTGATGTCTTTAGTCTGTCTAAAGATTATTATGTGGCATTGTTATAAATATTCTTATAATGTAATTATAACAATATATTAAATAATATAAGTCATAAATATTGCAAAGATTTCTGAAGGTGGGGTTAACATGTATTGAGTCAAATACCACGCTGTCTAGTAATGGGTGATTAATTAAACCATGCAATACGCGCAGTCATGTAACACACCTTATAGATAATAGGTATAGACACATAAAACGCGTCGTTATAGATAACGAGTGATACGGGGCCATCGTGCAGGCCCCACGTATACATATACATATACATATGTATATTTTATTATAAGATGGCAGAAATTTCTTGATTATATGCGTACAATTTATGACCAGAGAGTGCATTTGAATTTTCAAGGAGTTGAACAATTCTTAGATGACGTTGGTAGATCAAAAGGCAGATTTAGCAAATAATAATATATTAACGACGTTTCGAATGTAGCAACATTCATTTTCAAGTTAAGAGAAGCATTGAATAGTGAAATTTGGTTGGACATAAGTACATAATACACGTAAATAGGATACAACACAAAAATTTCGAGCCAGAAATTTTGCTTCTCTTAACTTGAAAATGAATGTTGCTACATTCGAAACGTCGTTAATATATTATTATTTGCTAAATCTGCCTTTTGATCTACCAACGTCATCTAAGAATTGTTCAACTCCTTGAAAATTCAAATGCACTCTCTGGTCATAAATTGTACGCATATGTATATTTATACATATTCTGCTCATGCATGATTTTCCAAAATGAATACAAATCATGATTTAATTAAATATATTCTGAGTATGAATACTATTTTAAAAAACATTAGATTCTTGTATGTAGATTATAAATATAGTGCCCTGCGCATGCATATTATACTTGAATAGAGACTGAATGCAGGAAGAATGTTAAAATGTACATCTGAATATTCCAGAAAAATTTATACCGGCCATGTGTTGAATATTCATGTATGCTACTCGTGAATATTATGATAAAAAAATAATCGCGATGCTGCTCGTTCATTATTTCATCAGGATTTCCAACAAACCGGCACAAAAGAGACTATCGCCGTAATTTTAATCATTGTAATCATTGTAACTATCATTGCGCCTATAATTATAACAATAATTGCAAATACCGTTGTAACTACCATAAGGTGCTACAACCCCTGGCAAAAATTATGGACCGGCCTCGGAGGATGTTCATTCAGCTGTTTAATTATCTTAGTAGAAAAAAAAAACAGATTACAGGCATGACACAAAACTAAAGTCATTTCAAATGGCAACCTTCTGGCTTTAAGAAACGCTATAAGAAATCAAGAAAAAAAATTGTGCAGTCAGTAAAGGTAATTTTTTTAGACCAAGCAGAGGGAAAAAATATGGAATCACTCAATTCTGAGGAAAAAATTATGGAAACACCTGTCGGAAAGTTTACAAACTTTCGTGCATATGTCTTCAATTTTATAGGTCCATCCCTTTCTGTAAACCATTGAGAACGATTTAATCTTCACCCTTTATTAAATTAACGTCATTATTGTCAATTCTAATAATTTTATTCAAAGCAGTCATTTAGCGGCCGGGCTGGTTGCGACTTTTCTCACTGCTTCCGAGGCTTTCCCTGCAGCAAAGCAGAAATCTTGCATCTCTGGCCGGCAACAGACAGATTCACTTCAACCTTCACACATTCAACTCGTCCATGTGTCGTCTCGCGTGGTCTATGCCCGTCCGTTCTACGTAGTTCCTACTCTGCGAGATGACAGTCCTCAGCCTCTAGCCGGTTCTTCAACTGGACAACTCCTCACCTGCACCCAGAAGGCCTGTTCTTCCCACAAAGAAGCCGTAAGTCGTTAAATTAGCCTGTGCCGCTCTTAATGACTGCTTCTGGAAGAGCATTAAGCTCGCTCGCTAAGTTCCTCTTAATAAAGTGACATTCATCCAATTTCAATTACATTTCATCGAAATTTCTAAAACGTTTCATATTCGTTCTCAATGATTTACTGAAAGTTTTGCTAAATAACGTATTCTAATTCTAAAGTGATAACTGATTCTAATTCTGAAGTGATAACTGATTCTAATTTTAAAGTGATAACTGATTCTAATTCTAAAGTGATAACTTTATTATATTATATTATTATCAAACTCCTAAAAGAGGGTAAATCATCACGCAATGTTGCAAAAGATGTTGGTTATTCACAGTCAGCTGTGTCTAAAATCTGGACCAAATATAAACAATATGGGAAGGTTGTTAAATGCAAACATACTGGTAGAACAAGGAAGACATCAGAGCGTCAAGACAGAAAACTTAAAGCAATATGTCTCAAAAAACGAAAATGCACAACAAAACAAATGAGGAACGAATGGGAGGAAACTGGAGTTAACGTCTGTGACCGAACTGTTAATTAAGAAACGGCCTAAAGGAAATGGGATTTACATACAGAAAAGCTAAACGAAAGCCATCATTAACACAAAAACAGAAGAAAAACAAGGTTACAATGGGCTAAGAAAAAGCAATCGTGGACTGTGGATTACTATCAAATATCGCAATATATGAAAGGTTCTGTATATAGCGGGATAAAATAAATGGCCACATTATCAAATAATCATTAAAGACCAATTCCATGAAACATTAGATCTGACCCAACACCTGTTTGACTTTTGAATTTTCGCCCCCATTTTCCGCGATACTAATAAAATTCTAAGCAAGGAAAAGCCAGGGTGCGACAGCGACAACAGCGCTGTGGCTCCAGTGGAAACAGTGATTTTGGATGAAAGGACGGATCTAGCTCCTAATGTTGCTACGGAGTGCGTGAACCTGTATTCGTGACGACCTCGTGATGTTCACGCTTACAACCCTCCTCAAGTGATGTACCCTCGCCTTGTAGACCTACGTCCTATGCATGGATCCATAATCTAAACCTGCACCAGCCGCCCCGGGATGATGGACCTCTCTTCGAAGACTCAGCTGGACCTAACTTACCATGGAGGCCAAGTCTTTATTCAATACACTGTAAGTCTGGCAATGACAGAGCGTGATTCATTGTCAAGGATGGTGTTGGGTTAAAGATCTAATAGCCGCTTCACGGCCTGATTTATAATAAAGATGTAGGGCCAACTGATCTAATCTTATGTTGTCAATAGAGTAAATGTAATGAATTGATTTTTTAAAATTGATCCAAATGATGTATAATTGAATAAGTGATTCATAACTGATCCCAAATTGAGTAAATGATTGTTGAACTCGCTAATTGATCTCGAAGAAACAAATAACAAATTCCAAGTGAAACAAAGAAACAAATAACAAATTCCAATTCCCCCCCCCTTTTTTTAACTAAATTTTTTATGAAGTTTTATTTGATAAGAGGTGGTTCTTTGTTTTGTTTAAATGTACAACTAATGAGGAATGCATGATGTGAATTAGACGCCTATATGCTTATTCAATTT